GGGAAGTGAAGGCACTCAAGTAAACATCCATATTAAAAAGCTATTAGAGGAAGCAGGGTTTTCAAAATTTGATCTGTAACAGAGTGGGAGAAAACAAATGAAGGTAAGGCTTGTCTGTGTTCTTTCTCTGCGCCTTTAACTTCTGAAGTACTCTAAAACGTTACTTGCTCAAAATGGAACAACAGCAATAGTTCATTAGCATTTTCTTTTTCTGTAAAAAAGAATCTTGCCTTGAATTGCAAATTTGATTTTATTGGTATTAAACTTGGTAAATTTTGATAAGTCTGTCACTTTGTTTCTCACTGGGGCTGGTCCTTATCGGTATCCAAGAGCATGCTGATCACAACTTATGTCTGTCTAGTCTCAAATGCTGAGTTATTAGTCACTCTGCACAATAACATGCCTTCTCATAAACAGTTCTCATTTGCAGGTTTCTTTCATGTCACTGCCCGAGGAGAGTTTACTGTTGTCTATAGATTTTTGTTTTTCTACAAACAAATTGTGGCAAACAAAGGGGAAGGAAATCTTCTCCAGGTGGCGCTCTAGCAACAGACCAGCATTTGGACAACGTGGTGAAGACGTCATTTATGATTAGGTAATCTTTCATCATAAAATTCCTTTCTGTAGGTAATAACTTGAAAACGTCATTTATGAATTTAATTTGAGATGGATGAAAATGTATACACATACTTGTTGGTTGGAAATTAGTTTTCAGAAGCTACATGAGTTGGGGTTAACTAGAGAACTTTGTTTGTTCATAGCCTAAGATGAATTTAACAATCCAATTCTTAATGTCTTGAACTTAAGAGTATCTTATTGAGCTGAGATATGCATAAAAATGGAAAGCAATCGAGTTGAAATCCTCATTGTATAGCTATTAGACTTGGCTTTTCAAAATCTGACGGGGAACAAAAGTATGAGAAAACACATGAAGGTAAAAGTCTGTTGATCCTTATCTGTGCCTTTCACTTCCGAACTACAGTTCCATTTCATTAGAATTGTTTTCTTCATTGTATCTCTAGACTCTCTGCGTAAGATTCCCAACGGGAACTACCCCAACTTGACCCAATTTGAGATTTCAATGTAACTGCTGCTAATGGAAGAAAACTAAAGCATATTGCATGCTCTTTTAAGGTAGAATGACCTTATCATCTTCCAACAAACTCAAGAAATGCTTGCTTTGATGAGATGAAGTTGAAGATTTCGAGAAAGAATGAAAGCTGTAGCAGAAAACATAGGGCTGGGATCTCTCCAAGGTATTGCTCCACTCTCTCACAATCTATGTTGCTTGTATTGTGAAGCTTACAGGATTACTCATTACTGACCATCGTCACATGATCTTGCAGGTGATTGTGGAGAGGTTTGCCAATTGACCTTAGTGAAATCAAAAAAGGGAAGTAAGTTTGTTTTTTTTTATTTGGAGGTTGGCACCTTTGTTTATATTCTTAGCACTAGACCGTTGCTCGGAACGACCCCACACAAACAACACCCAAAAATAGAAAAAAAATAATCTCATAGTTATCATAATAATATGCTTTCTATTAGCTCTTTGATCGGAGCTATCTTGTCCTGCAGATAGTTCATTTGTGTTTGGTGGGGCGTCATCTGATCTGACCACATGGAAAAGCTTTCTTTGTGTTGACGAAGAATTCTTCATCTCAAACAAGATAAACTGATGTTAAACCCTGGGGGGACACGTCTTCGTTTGGTTTTCTTGCAAGAAAACTTTATCGGATGATGATGTTGTTGAAAGTTACTTTCTATGTAATGCCTGTTGGTCCTTTTTTCCGTCTCTCGTCCTTTTACTAACCACAGGGGTCAATTCAGCTCTGAGGGACGAGGAAGAGTAGTTGGATCAACACCAATGCCCCGATCGGATGGTGCTTCTTAACTCGCAGAGAGAACTCTTTCAATTTCTGGACAAAATTGAAAGTTGAATCAGTTCATCAGAAGCAGACGAGTCCGATCAAGGCCCTATCTGTCACTTCTTCTTGATACTGATTACTGTCGTAGCGTAGGCGTGCCACTATTGGATTTATAACCAGCCCAATAGATCTGGTGTGGAGATGAATGATCGATACTGGAGGATCTTGCGCCTTATGTTCTGGACTCCTTACCAAGCCATTGTGCTCTAGAGGGGTGCTGGCCTGAATTGATTCTTTTTTATGCCTCGATTAAGAGGACTTCGACATTCTTCTCTTTGTGCATATTACCCTGGCAAGTATGAGCAATAATTGAACGGGCAACAAAGTAAGACCAAGTTCGTGATTAGTAAAGACCCTGCCTGGGCTTTATTAACCTGTTTCAATGTTTTTCTCGTTTTCAGACTAAATTAATGATTAAATTGAGCCTGGTAATGTAATGTTCGGGCCCAACTCAACTCCCTGTCCTTTTCTTTACTATATCATTCAGGCCCCTATCCCTTTTTGGGCTCGAATATCAGTTTTTCTGGCTCTTCAAAGAATAGGAAGGCGGAAATCCAATTTTAAGTATTAAAATTATTCAAAGCTTGTTTTATTAGACGATTAATTAAGATTTTACTGCGGAGAGTCTTCTGCAATTTATATATTACCTAGAACTTCAAATTAAACAACAGGAGATTCTTTGGTTAATCTATTAATTTATCCTTAAATTCAAGCCACAGAGCAAAGATAAAGGGGCTAGAGATTTCTCAATTCAGTCCAGAGATTACATGAATTGAAACAACATACATGTTAAAAGAAAATCATACCATAGACATGGCAGAGCTACGAGAGATAATCACAGGATTCGTCGACTGGATATCTTAACGACAAAGTAGGCAGATTATTATCTTGAGAGTGTTTTTGAAGACGTTTCGTCTGATTTTGGAGAGAGAGGCCTTTTTCTCTAAAGTAGACCCCTATTATTTATAGAGGGGGATGAACTTGTAATGATAGAAACTGCGACAAGACCTTTGGCTTGTGGTTCAAGGTCAGCTGTTAGTTCGTTGATCCTAACCAGTTCATAGAGGGAATGATGGAGGATTTCTGGCAAGGACCGCCGGTTTCCCTTGTGGAGTTTTCTTGATTTGACTTCTTGTACTTGAAAACCTGGCTGGCAATTTTGATCTTCTGGTTTTGGGGGCTTCAGTACGACTTGCTTTCTTGCTGGGCGAGTAAGAAGTCAATTTGCCATTAAATGCGATAATCTCTTTCGGCCTCCCTCGTGGGTTCAGAAAACACGCTTATCAATTTCTGACGTGTAGTGTGAAATAGAGGTCTGACTTTCTTGACCTTGGGCCTTTTTATTTATTCCTTCAAAGAGGCCCAGTCGTGAGAAGGATGGTTTTTCCGAGACCAACAAGTGCTAATGGGCCTGACTCTATTTTTTTAATTTTTTAGAAATATCTTTCAAACCGTGCGACCACTTTTGACCCGTCTACCAAACAATGCCATATGCAGCCAGTTTGTTGGCCTTTGTCTATGAATCCTTCAAAGACAGCCATGGATTGTGTACCTAAACCTGTTAAAGCTCGTATTGTTGAAGTTCAATTTCCTCTTGTCCCGCATGGAAATATTATAGCTTTGTCTATGAATCCTTCAAGGACAGCCACTTTGATACTAATTGTTGTTTCCAACAAAAGCTTTGTCTCGACACATTATAGCTTATTCATCGAATGTTACATATATTCAATGTTTCCATACATTTCAAGCATTTTGACAAGCAAACGGTCATTGAAGTTCAATATGAAATCTTATTGACAGGACCCGCCCTAAAGACTGATCGGAACCCGAGACAAATTCTGTGGAATTCCCGACATCACCCGATGTTGGGCCCATTTCCTTTACAACGACCTCTTTTCCAGAATAAGGAAAAGGGGCACGAGACTTTCTGCCGAAATTTCGGCAGAGTCTCCCCTGTAAATTGAACATTCCCCGAATTTCAACCTGCACAAAATTCACATTTTAATATTCCAACAGGCAGCACACACAATATAACAACATGTAATTCACATAGACGGCCTCCGGCCTTCAAATAATCCGAAGCGAAACCACCAACACACTCTTAAGTCGAACAATACTCTAAACAATGCCAACAATGAATTTCAACAATTAAAAATGCCCACCATAATCAATATTAAATAACTTCACAAATATCCCACATATGAGGTTTTAACCTCCTAACACAATCACATCTCATTTTTCACCCCAAATTTCAGGACCAACGACAAGATCCGAACCAATCTCCATAAAACAACATAAACAGAGTTTAGTCTGCGGCTGCACCTAGGCACTACCCTAGGCTGCCTACGTACCCTTACTAAGGGATCAAGCCACACGTAGTTCTTTCACTAAAGCCTTTTACTTTAAATCACAACTCACCAAACAAAATCTTTAATTTAACTCCCTAATAATCACATAATCTCCCCATACGCCAGAACATCCAACGCCACGTAAGGGGCCTATCAACACGCCGGAAAATACTACACCACGTGCAACATCAACATAATAACACAAAATCTCCCCATACGCCAGAACATCCAACGCCACGTAAGGGGCCTGTCAACACGCCGGAAAATACTACGCCACGTGCGACATCAACATAATAACACAAAATCTCCCCATACGCCGGAAAATCCAATGTCACGTATGGGGTCTGTCCTCACACCGGAAAATCCTACGCCATGTGGGACCTCAACATCATATCACAAAATCTCCCCATATGCCGGAAAATTCAACGCCAAGTATGGGATCTGTCAACATGCCGTAAAATCCTACGCCACGTGCGACCTCAACATAATAACACAATCTCCCCATATGCCGGAAAATCCAACTGTCACGTATGGGGTCTGTCCTCACACCGAAAAATCCTACGCCATGTGGGACCTCAACATCATATCACAAAATCTCCCCATATGTCGGAAAATTCAACGCCAAGTATGGGATCTATCAACATGCCGTAAAATCCTACGCCACGTGCGACCTCAACATAATAACACAATCTCCCCATATGCCAGAAAATCCAACGCCATGTATGGGGTCTGTCCTCACGCTGGAAAATCTTACGCCACGTGGGACCTCAACATCATATCACAAAATCTCCCCATATGCCGGAAAATTCAACGCCAAGTATGGGATCTGTCAACATGCCGTAAAATCCTACGCCACGTGCGACCTCAACATAATAACACAATCTCCCCATATGCCGGAAAATCCAAAGCCATGTATGGGGTCTGTCCTCACGCTGGAAAATCTTACGCCACGTGGGACCTCAACATCATATCACAAAATCTCCCCATACACTGGAAAATCCAACGCCAAGTATGGGGTTTGTCAACACGCCGAAAAATCCTACGCCACATGCGACCTCAACATAATAACACAATCTCCCAATACGCCAGAAAATCCAACGCCACGTATAGGATCTGTCCTCATGACAGAAAATCCTACACCACGTGAGACCTAAACATCATTTCACAAAATCTCCCCACAAGCTGGAAAATCAAACGCCACGTATGGGGTCTGTCAACACGCCGGAAAATCCTACGCCACGTGCGACCTAACAATCACATCACACAATCTCCCCCATACGCCGAAAAATCCAACGCCACGTATGGGGTCTGTCTCAACGCCGGAAAATCCTACGCCACGTGAGACCTCACAATCACGAGATGGTACTTACAGTGTAATCAAACATCTTTATATCTTTAATATATATAAATACATTAATTTCCAAAATATCATAAACCTCTACCACAATATAGCATCTGATAATCCCCCAATTTAAAACAATAAATTAATATCCTAATCCACATAACTCAACTAACGATCAAGACCTGTCTCTACGGTCATTCTAATCTTCCAGGGAAGGTAAAACTATTTCGGAAGACTCATGGTCAACTAAGGGTCAAACTACCCAAACTTGGTCAAACGGTCCCGCGGGGCCCACGACCTCTAAATTCCGATCCGAAAGTGCAATATGCGATATCCGATCGATACTCAGACGGTATCCAAATTGAAATCCGAGCACACCTACGCGCTCGTGAGGACTAGGAGATCACTTTAGGACCTAAAGTCGGTCCATTTTCCTAGCCCACGAGCCGCCACACGCGCCGGCAGCTCGTGGGGGCCTTTAGTGATTTCTGGCC